CCTCCAGGCGCTGTGTCACTATGGGTGAAAGGGGATTTTTGTTCCTCTTTCCCAATGCAGCTGTATCACTGTGTACTGGTTAGCTGTGCTGTCCCAGCCTGTGCAATAGTAATCAGCATCATCCTCCGCTTCAGCCCTGCTGATCGTTAAAAAGCAGGTGTTCCGGGAAGTGTCTTTAGAGGCAGTGAACCTGTCAGGGACACCAGAGCCTTTACCCTGGGTAGAGTCATCCTTGTAATACAGCAGGTATCTTGGTTTCTCCCCTTGCTTCTGCTGGTACCAGCGTATGTATCTACTGCTGATGCTGTCTCCACTGCTCAGAACACATGCGAGTTGGGCAGTTTCTCCTGGAGTCACTGACATACTCAGTGGCTGAGTCAAAGTGAACTGGTAGCTGGAACCTGAAACAACACAGAACCACAGGTCACCAAAGTGTCTGTAAATGTGGGTGTGCCATGCACCGGGCACACTCCTGACCTAGCTTCTGAGATCAAGCATGCAGTTATATTTACCTGCCCAACAGGCTACCAGAACCAGCAGTGTGGTGACCCAAGCCATCCTAGGAACAGCACACTCAGCCACAGGGCTCTCTGAACTCAGTGGTGCCTTCTCCGCTTGCTTCTTAAACCCTGTGATGTGAGCAGACATCCTGAATGCAAATCTGCACGTCTCTGATAGGCTCCAAGTTATCCTCAGCTCACTGGCACCCACCCCACAAGCATCCGGGGACAGTCGGAGTGTTGCTGGGCTAGGAGTAAGGGATGACGGCCTCAGGTATTTTTATCCCATGAGGACACCCTTGAAACATTTTTCCATCAGATTCCGCACAGCTCCTCAATTGGTTTGTTGCACTGTACAGTGGGAGGTTCGGAGAATGGATTCCCCTGACTCTGAAACACTGGAGTCACTGCTGAAGGCAGGACACCAACTTAGTGGGACGGATAATCTGGTCCAGTGTGGTCAGGGTCATCCCCTGACAGAGTTTATTCATGGCTCTGGTCTCCAGTGCGTTCTCTGCATTATCCCCCACAAGTGCA